GTATAAACTACATTTTATAATGACATTGATGAAGAAACTGTATCTAATTATTACGGGGCACATACCTGATCCACATAATTACTGAGTTTGCTCTGTTTGGCTGTTTTGGCTTTAAATGAGAATAGGATTAACGGTCAGTAGTAACCCAGAAGTAGGGAAGCGTTAAAGAGAGAATTTAAATATGCCTGTTAGGTCATGTTGATTATTCTTTTTATTTTTTTGTTTGTTTTTGTTTGTTAGGAAATAAAATGAGTCAAACTGAGTGAGGGAGGTTATTATTGTGCAAGGGTGATATTCTGAAATTGCTTCAAAATGTCCAAAGATATTTAATTCAAGATTACATAAGAGAGAAAATCACCAAATCCTCAAACTTGAGAAGCTGGAACCAGCGAAAGTTTGGAATTTCTTGCTTTGCACGAAAACCCAAAAATAATAAACATTTTGTCAAATTATTTGTGAATTTGAACGTATCAGTTTACTCCATCCTTGATAAACATCTTTGTTTATCTAAACAAGATGCTTCTTTAGTAACCAATGATTAGACCAATTTTAAAATAATAACGCACATGTTTAAGCGCAGTTTACTTGCAGGTTTGCACATACAGTAACAATCCCTACTTCAAACGCAGAGCAGTGTGAAATAAAAGAATGAATTATTTATAGATATACACTTGAGGAAAGTGGTGGTTGGTGCAGTGTAGGCAGCTGCTTTGGGTGGCGGCTGGCTAGAGGCGACAGAACACAGTTTTATCCATCATTATATTATTCATTTCAAAGGAGTTCCCTCATGCATTCGTCCCTGTTGTGCCTCGTCAGCTGTGACGCGCTCCCCGCTTCCACCCGGCCTGTGACGTCTGTGCCACAGGAGCATTCACTTCACTCCGGGAGATGGAGCTGAAAAGCACTGCACCAAACTACACAGATTAAATTATAAATTATTATTACACAATATGAAGTTAGGTAAATAAATGTGTCGCGGCCTTGCTGTGTAATGTTGAAAAATGTACGTTTTCGGTGTCATTTTACTGATGAAAAGCTGCAATTTGCACAAAAGAGATGCCTGAAAGAAGCAACACAAAAGAAAAAATCTTCAGAGTTAGAGTTGTGGGACAACTCCTACTTGCAAGACTGACTAACTATAACTGAATTATCTTTTCAATTTTCCACGAGGGCGGAGAGAATGTAGAGTAGTTGTGAACGTTGGTCATATTGTTGTGAGAAAATACTTCTATCGCAGCTTTTTTGCGGCCTATCCCCAATCATGGGGGTCCAGAGGAAACAACAGGGACATAATATAATGATCAATAAGATGTAAGTGGCCAAATGTTCTCAAACAACATCCCCAAATTTAGTCATCTGTAACTATACTGAAATTTAACTTTTTTTTATTTTGGCCTTTATTTTGAAAGCTGACTCATTTCCTGAGTCAGAAAATGAGAGAAGAAAAGACTGATGGTGCAACAAGATTCTCCAGCGTGACTCAAACTGGGGACACTATGATTACATGATCAGAGGCATCTTAAACCCGAGGCTACCAAGTCCAGCTTTGATCTTTAACATCCTGAATTAAAACTGAAATTTAGGATCATTAATCACAGATATAAATGCTTCAACAAAAGTGATTTCTAAAGCAATTATCCCTTAGCCTTTGCCACTGGTGTGACTTCATCATATCTGTCCTGTAGTGTCTTGACATGGAACCAAAACTATCAGATGACATCAATTCAAGCCCTCATAATGCGAGGCTTTTGCTAGCTAACAGATTCTTAATTTGCAGCCTGTGGCCATGGACTCACAGTCATTGTCATTAAACAAATGAAGAGAGGCTCTAAGTCAAAAAACAAACAGCATGTCACTACCAAAAGGACAGATCCCAGCTTTTCTTCCACTCTCTCTCACTCTCCCAGCCATGAGATGAGCTCAGTGGGTTTGTTGAGTAATGGACTGAGCTGATCAAAGCCATCCCGAGTTAGTCATCTGTGAGAAACAGAGAGTATCAAACCCATTCAGAGGCCGGCGGGTTGATATATGACAGGTGAGCCGCAGCTGGACTCTTATGAAGAACATGTGCGCTTGGCTGCAGCTTCTCACGAAGCGCTGGAGGAAGAGCGAGGAAGAGGAGGGAGATGAGAGGATGTGAGTGTGAGATAATTCCTGTGTAAAAAAATTAATAAATCATAGTTTTTGGTGCTTTGGAGGGAAGGTTCATTGACTTTTAGAGGCCCTTCAGATGATGCAGGGGGTACACCAGCAATATTAGGAATAGCTTAATGACACTGTTTTATTTCACAATAAATTAATAAGGAAATGAAGGAGGAAGTGGCAATATAGACCCCACAAGTTGGTTGTGGGGTCTATATTGCCACTTCCTCCAATAGGATGTGGCTGTTTAAGGGGCCTAAAACATATTGAGTCACCTCTTGTCTATTGCATATATTTAGACTGTAATTGTGTTTTGGACATTGAAGTGGACAGTATCTCACCTTTTGACCCTGATGATCTGGTCTCTCATGGGCTTGATGTCCTGAAAACTTTGCTGATTGACCAGACTGTAGACCAGGATGAAGCCTTGGCCGTTCCTGATGTAAAGGTCCCTCATTGAGGCGAACTGCTCGGTGCCGGCTGTGTCTAGGATCTCCAGCACCGACGGAGAGGAGTCCACCTCGATCTCCTTCCTGTAAAAATCTTCAATTGTCGGGTCGTACTTCTCTATAAATGTCCCGGTGACAAACTGGACCGTGAGCGCGGACTTCCCCACCCCGCCGCTGCCCAGCACCACCACCTTATACTCCCGCATAGCGCTCCTGTGGAGTTAAATCCGGCATGCAGAAAATAAAGTCTTCAGCGGCGGATAAAAGAAACGCATCCCCATGCACAGGAGCTGGGGCTCAGACTACAGGCATGACACAGTAACAGCCTCCGGTAAATGAGATGCTCTTGCAGTTATAGGCGGGCAAATTGAGATGATGCTGGAGCATTTAGCCCTGAGATGCACGGCCACAGCCTCTACTGAAATATTCCCACGCTATCTTGAAGGGACACCATTCCAGAGGCATCCATAATGCAATAAGGCGTCGGTGTGGTAAAAATAAGATTGGCTATTATTAGCAACAACTAGACGGCACATCTTCTTATGTGCCGACAAAACAGAAGGCTAGCACTACATTTCTCTGCACAGTGGGGTACAGTAGACTTAAAGGCAAAGAGCCTATTTATCCTTAAGCAGACAACAGTGCTGGGAATCCACGCCTCTGGAATCGGTGCATCCACTGGATGTTACTATTTCCTGGAAGTATGAGAGGTGATTAGTGCCACAGTGTAGGGAGGAGAAGAAAAGGATAGGCATGTTTGTAACAAAGAGAATCATCTTCATCGTGATGGAAATATCAAATAAGCTTCTCATTATAAGAAAACTGCTATTGCTCCTTATTTCAGAAACATACAGGAAACAGCATGGCAAACTAATCTCTGCAGAATGCTATCAGTAAAGTCTGCTACAACACAATGCACATTTCAAACATGTCCTCAAAATAAAACAGCAAAATGACCTGGATCAAGTGCACGCTCCTATCAGCGTGGACACCATTTACTTGGTTTGGCTTTTAGAAAGATTGTAGCTTAAGTTGAAATAAAACTTGGTCAAGGTCAGCAAATGATCATGGGTCACGGTTAAGACACTGATGTTGACTGTACAAAACTGGACGAGCGTATTTTTGTTAACCATTCGACCACCCCAACCTTCTCCCTCTGTGAGCTATGTGGCTCTGTGATTACATCACAGTTTCTTCCTTTGCTCCTGATCATGGAGCCACAATTACGGTACAAGAGGTCTTTGTCACTGGAGTGTAAACATATTTGCTGAAACAACTGATGATGTCATTTTTCTTGGGAGGATAGTCTCCACAGTTGCCGTGGAAACAGGGTTAAGCACCCATTAGATGATGGGAGTTGTTCCAGACAAGTCTCTTGCATCTGCAAATAAGCAAGGTCATTAGTCCTTAGTCTCAACACGCCTTTGTGTGACAGGGTGCTCCCCTTTAACTTCGTATCTAGAGCTCTTGACCTTGTCTGGAACACATCCGGGATCAAAATATTTTCTTTGTCAGGCTTCCAGGCTTCATGTGTGCAAATACATGTGATAATATGTATGTGGCAAAATATAGCAATACATTTGTTATAGGATTTCAGAGAAGGTGGTTTATACAATTTTGCAGTTAATTGTGTCATCAGTCAGTTTAAGGGTTTTAAAATCAGTAGTGATCTTGCAATTGTGCAACTGCACACTGCTATACCCACTGTAGTAAACATACAGAATAACAAAGAGATGTGAAACACTGCATCCATTAATTTCATATCCTGGGAGCGCTGATGTTTTTTGAAATGGTGGATTCAGACACTGCAGCTGCCTGGCAACAGACAAAAAGATAATGTTCAAAATAGTGACTTAAATGAAAAATGCAGCTGCTAGAGCTGTAATAGGGAAATTAGTTGACATTAACATTGGGGTATTAATGACTCCTCATATTTTTTTTTGACTTCATGAAATGCCTCACTGCAGTAACAGGAAATGACATAGAAAATAAATAATGGAAAACGTTTACTTCTTTAGTCTTAACATCATGTTTATCGTCTGTGGCAAAATCTTAATTGTGGAGAGCTCGGACTTACATTAATGAAAGCAGCATTAAAATCTGGTCATTTATTTTTGTGTAATTGTGAAGCCTTAGCTGCCACAACCCTAAAGACTGCTCTAATGAGCCTTTATTCTGCTGCTTTATTTACTTTAATGGCAGTTTCCAAAGTGGACCTCAGATACCAAGGGGACTTACACAGTATACATTACATCTCTATGGCACATTGAAGAGCAAATGTGTCTAGGATGTAGTGGCTGGGGTCTTCAAATATATGATGCATATATCCATATAGATGATGCAAAATACTACACAAACAGGTCCTGTACGTGACATAAATAAAAGATCCAGACAAAACAGTTCCTTTGATTTTCTTTATTTCTTTCTTTCAATAGATTTTACACTATCTTGCTGGAACCAAAGAAACATTTGACTATAGAAACATAAAATAGCACAAAATATATGCAAAAAGAATACATTGAAAAATGATTACATTGAAACTATAAATCCGATGAGGGTCTTCTTGTCAATTAATCTTTATGTTTTTACTTTGTTGTTAGGGTACACTGCAACAACGATGGCACAGGCAGTCACAAGTCATAACCTGCAGTCTCCAGTGTAGTGCCCTCTGCTGGCTAAAGCTGTGAATTACACGCTCCAAACAGTTCCATTGTAAGGCAATGGGACGAAAAGATGTCACTACAGATTTGGGAGACCAGAAGTAAAGATCAGTGACTGGTCTCTCTGTTGCAGTCACCCATTTTGGCCTTGTGATGCGCACATTAAAACCTTAAAAAATGATTTTAGATATAAAGATATATATTTGAAATGAAACTGAGGAGGGATTTGAGAAGAGAGACCCGTTCAAGCCTCTTTCATAAATTTCATAAGAGCTCTTAAAAACATAAAACCTTAAGCACGATGGACTCAAGATAAGGCAAAGTGTTTGGATAAGCTGAGTCTGCTCAGTTGACCAACTGCTCAGAAAGTGCTTACATTTTTCTTTTTACCATCAGTCAATCATTGCCGACACATTTCAAAAAACATTACATCTCAAGAGGATTCCATACACAAGGGCATCGTGGGTCACCTAATGAGGACATTTTGTGTACAGACATTTTTTTTTTCACTAGAAACATTCAGTACGTTATCATTTAGTAAGAAAAGAAAATATTGTTTTCCCATGCAACATGTTGAATTAAAGTTATTTACCGGTAGTATCTGCTTTTGATTGATAAACAGATTTACTGTACTAGCAGGAAATGAAAAACAGATCACATCTTTAAAGAATATGAAAAGTGCAATCCTTAACTCTAGTGATACATACGCCTCGAATAAAATGTCTCAGTGTGGAACCTAAAGGTCCTTTGTCGGGGGAAGAGCTGTACATCTGAACTTATTAATTTATAGATTATTTAGTTCTTATATATATATTTATATATAATCTATGTAACATTGATGACTTTAAATCTATTTAAGTGTTACAGTCACAGCACTATGGAGGCTGTTATTCGCTAATGAAAATATTAGGTCATTGTCATAATCTCAGTGAAGAATAAGAAATGTTCATATCTTCTTTACAATCTACCTTGTGTACAGTGTTCTAGCAAAAAGAAACAAAAATCAACTTAACAATGTCATTTACAAAAATACCGAACTTTAGTAATTGCAACATTTGGTTGCCACAGCAACAACTTAATATTGTTATGAAATACTATTTTACTAGAGTGAAAAGTACATCTTTTTTGAAATTTTCTTCTCTTTTTTTGGTAAAATGTCATCTATACAATAAACATTTTTTTTCCAACAACACAAGCAACTCTATAACTATGCTCATTACTGCAACACCGTGATCTTTTTATCGATGAGAAGGCAAGAAAGATCCAGTAGCTTTCTATTGGTGAGTAGAATTTTAAACCCCACCCCTCAGACGTGTGCGACTTCTCATTCGCTGACCTGACAGGTTAGACCTTTAAATGACCAACCGTGCAGAATGTAGCACAGCTCAATAAATTACATTCATTTCAAAATAGAATAGTTTACAACATTGTTTTTGACTAAAATTTGACCAAGAGTAACATAAGATAAATTACAACAAAATAGAACTTTTACCACCTTCCACAAATATTACACACAAATCATAATGCATGTGAAGACAATCAAAGTGAATGAAACCAAAATGTGAAACCGGAGTGAAACACTCTTGTTCCAAAGGTATGCCTGTGGATTGTCAATGTTAATCAAGCACCATGAAATTACATCTGAATTTTGAAAAATGGAAAATAAGATTTAGTATCATGAGTTCAAACACGCTGTTTGTAAAATGAAATGACTAAAGAGGGTTGGTCTAAAATAATACAATAACTTTTGATGATCTTGACTGAAAAACAACTGATTGTTCTGGGAGATGGAGGTGGTGGAGGGTTTTAGGGGAATTCAAACATACCTTGATAGGAGACACAACACAAATTTTAAATAACTTCGAATACATTTCTAGAACTATGAATATAAACTCTCAAAATAAGAGACACTTTACATACATTACACAGTTTACAATACATTTTTTTCTCACTCACGTTCCTCATGTAAACTACTCAAACCATGGTAAGAAACAATGGTACACCATGAAAGTCACCAAACATTCTACAAAGCTATTTTTGATTTGTCGTTTCTTTAACTTCTTTTGTTTCGATAAAGTCACTTGTGATGTTAATGAACGGTTACTAGAAAAACTGATTCCAGTAACGATTCGCAAAATGTGATGTCTTTCCCGAAAAGTCCCATGTAGCTTCTGACAGCCAGTGTGTTGTGTCTGTGACTTTTAGTGATACACTCTGGATGCATGTGTTGTTGATGAGCATTTTTTAGGCACTTCTACAGTTTTCTAAAATGGAACAGGATTATCGGTGATAGTAGGGTTGGACAGGACAACCGACGGTCACAGATAGCCCTCCAGTCGAAGTTCAAGTTATCTTTTTGCTTGACGAGCGTCGTCAAATGCACCGTTTTTTGTTTAGTCTTAGCACTTAAATCCCTCACCCACCCCTCAAAAAACTCTCCTACCAGGCCTGGTGTTGTCATCACCTGCTAGACCTCGCTTCAAGTCCCAGTCTGCCGGCAGACCATCAGTCTCCAGATACGAACACACATGCACACACACACAAGGCTTGGTATGTCTGGAACAAACCCTCAAGCTTTGTTAAGCCCTTGGCACAGACCCGAGCCTTTAGGCTTTGTGGTAATGGCCACGACTATCTTCTGTCAACACTGGGCACTGTCTTTCCCTGTCCTGACTGCATGCAAAAATCCGTGCACAATCTATCCCACCACTCCTCCTAAACAAAGCACCCAAACAAATAAAGGGTGCGTTCCGAGCAGCTTTCGCAATGGCAAAAAAAAAAGAAAGAAAAGATTTTGTCTGGGTGTTAAAATGTGGCCCTGCACTCTGGCAGGTTGATTCCATTGACCTCTTCCAAGCCGCAACTTTGGCAAGATGTTTCCGGAGATGAAAAGTTGGCAGGGGGGGAGGGGAGGATAAGCTTCATCATGGCATCTTAACAGCATCTGGGGCAGATGAGGGTCACAGACGAACCCTCGCCGGGACAGTCACATTAAGAAAACATGAGCCTGTCTGCCCCAAGGACATTCAACTTTGTAGAGAGAAAAAAGCAAAGACCGCGAGATGAAAACCCTCTTCAAAGCGCCGAGTGCATTGGTGTGGTTGTGCACGGGTTTTCTGTGACTTCCTGTTTTCCCACTTCCACATTAAGCACTATATTTCTCATATAGTGCAAATCACGCATCTTTTTTTTCTAACCAAAGGGATGAACATTGTGCAGAGGTTTTTAGAATAAATATGAAAGAGAGGGGATCCACGGTACTTTGGGAGAACAGTTGTTAAAATGACCTCTATATTGTGTGTCTGCTATGTATGTCGCACTATACATAAGAATATTTTTGAATTTTTCATGTTAATTATTTTTTCTAGCAATACATACAGTATATATATCTTTTTTTTCTGTGTGTGTTACACCGGCACTGCAGTTCTTACGGTTAAATTGAAGTGTTTACACTCTTAGCATGCAGGTTGCTGGACCTCTATGGGAGAGGTAAGGTAGTATTTACACAGGGGCTGTTTTAGGTTTCCCAGTGCAGCTTCGTGACACTCCGTTCCCTTCCTGAAACTTATTTCAGGATGATCTGGAGGAGAGAGACAGGGAGATAAAAAGAAGGAAGGGAGGGGAGAAAACGTTTAGTTTACCTGTAAGAGACAGACTTCATTTACTCACATGTATAATGTAAAGCAAAATACCCAAAATCTGCATTACCACAAGTTTGACACAGTTAGATTTCAACTGACTTTGATTAATGTAAACATATAAGAATATACTTAACATAAATAGACAAAGCTGATGCTTTTATTGTGTCTGGCGTCTCCTTAAGATCTGGATCAAATGGTATTTGTCTTTTTTCTTCCTACTCAAAACCTCAGTATGCTTCAAACGAAGTGCTGTCGGATGGTACCGTAAGAAACATCCTGTACGATGGCCAAACGTGTGCAATAATTTTCACCAACAATTTTGCCCACTTTACGTTGTACTTGGCAAGGTGTGTGAAGGTGTGAAAATAGGCAGAATTCAACCTTTTCTTAGGGCTACATTTTGTTGCATTTTCCCGTTGATTTGGTTTGTTTTTGTTCAGACAAAAATTCAAGCAATGCATCACTAAAGGCCATGTGAGAATTTTTACCCCACCCATTGGTTAAATGTGTTTGGGGAGAAAGCGTTCAAGTAAAACACACGAAGAAAGTCCTGAAGAAGGTCCTGTGTTATCATGAAGACAATTTGTTGGTAGTCCAGGTCAGACCTTGATTCCTTCTCCAGCTAGCTGCTAGTAATGATTTTGCAAGTGACTATGAGAATTGTTTAGCTCAAACTCGCAGAGAAAAAAAAATGCTCCAGAATTCCTTTGCAACTGGAGTGAGACCACTTCTTCTAAAGTTTTTCAGTGCAGTTGCTTTGGTCCACACCTGACTGCTGTGTAGAAACAACGCATGTTTGAAAATGTCCTTAAGATCAAAGCCACACAACTTCAGTCATTTTTTTGTGTGTTCCACTGAGTTCAACCACCATGAACGCCTTGGAAGACACACAAAAGACACCGAGTATTTGGAGAGAGACTGAGGACAGTGTGCTGCAGCCAGGAGAAGGCCATCACCACGTGCTATTTGCCCCACATCCAAATGATTTTTCAAAAGGTATAAACACTTTTGCTTTTCATCATGGTCGGATAACACATTATACAGCCTGGTTCGGCATACTGACACCTACAGGCCTTAGGTAGGAAGAGTTTACCACGACAACCATGTCCCTCACCAACTAAGACAATCGCCTTAGTTGTTGTGGTAATGCCACCTGCCTGGTGTTCCATACAGATAAGAGAAAAAGTTATTTGCAAATAGCATTTGACCCAGGTCTGGTCACATCTGTGTGCATTCTCCCATTAGGAGATAAAGACTAATCAACCACACAACAAAGAGTAAGAAAGAAGAAGAAGAAGAAGAGAGAGAGATTTGTCTATAGGGGAAAGACAGGTAGAAGAGCTGCTGGCTGCCATCATGTGGTTGCCACTGGCAGCAAGCCAACGCAGAACAAAGACACATGGTGCTTGTTAACAGACAATAGATAGCCAGCAAAGGACAGAAGCCACTGGTCACATCACACATCACAGAAGGTCACCACAGGTGGAGAGTGTGTGATGTGCACAGGCTGAGAGGACAGCCTGTTCCATAGTGCAGTATGAAAATAGGAGAAAAATCTATATAAATATTACTGGGTGCCAGAGGGGTAGGATCAACCAGATAAGACGGTACACCCCACCCGTCTGGTATCACAGGTGGCTAAAAACAAACGCCAAGAATTGTTTGCGGGTCCTATTTGTCTAGGATTTGGTGCAGTGATACTTGCAGCATTTTGAAGTAGGAAGATAGCACTCACCACCATTAGATGGCCGAGGATGATGTGACTAATTGGATAATTAAATATGATAAGGTGTGTAATATCACATTATTATTCTAATTGCATTGGATCTTAGTGACCGAGTGTGTTAATTTCAATAACTGTGATAAGAAAAATAACAGGTTCCCCCACAGGACGGTCCTGTAGCTGAAGACCTGCTCTATATAACAACCTCTGTCATCTTCCCATCACTGCAGTAGACAGACTGATCACATATAGCCTGCAGAGTGTGTATGTAACACCATATTCAGACAGTAGAGGGCGCTGCAACGTTACAATCTCCAGTAAAAGCAGTGACGTTACCAGACACCCCAGCACTGTTAGCACATGGTTAATATGCACTGAGGCATGGAATGATGTGATTGGTTCCTCCTTGTCATGTCACAATAACAGTTCAGAGGGTCACGAGTTGACCATATTCTGAACCTATCCTGTCCCTCTATGAATGTGTATTATCCACTATTTATCTCGTTCTATCTAAAGACACAGATGCCTTCCACTGACAGGTTTGATTCTTTTGGCTCTAACATTATGATGTCCAGTTTATTCCCCAGTTCTGTCCAACTTGTTTTGACCAAGCCTATGGTGTAAGACGCTACATTATAATTATGGATGTGCTAATAGCTGATACTAACAAGCTAGCACGACTCCATACTTAAAGTTTGGGACTGATAGATTGTTTTTCGTTTTAACGTCTGCAGCATGTGGCCTTAAATTAAAAAAATGAAATGAAATCATAACCTGGGGATGACTTTACTAAACGAGGCGTGCACTGTATGCAGTACAGCTGGTGAATATAATTGTTAACTGTGTCCGAGCAGGAGGAATCTTTATGCAGGGCGGGGTGGGTGGAGAGAGAAAGGGGGGGGGGGGGGGCGACGGAGAAAGCACAGGCGAGGGCTGACGTCAGTGTTTCTCTGGCTCCTTGTCCCACATGCATCTTTAAAGAGCAGCTCTGCTTCCTGCTGCTACTGCTGCTGCATGCCAATTACAGGAAGAGATGGTGACTCACAGGAAGTGCATACACTGATGGCCTATGAGGAGCAATAAAGCACGAGGTACTTGGGCCAGAGCCTATGTTAATGATGGAAGGGGGGATGTTGGAGTAATGATTAATGATCATTTTTCAAAATGAACCTGTCATTTCTTTCTTTTTTCTTTCTTTTTTTTTTTTTTACACCCAGTACCTCCATTCTCATTTTTTCGTTCCAGATGGGACATAGGAAATGTTTTTAAAGGTATTTTTAGAGACTTCAATTTTCTAAAATTGTTTCCTTTAAAAATAACTGATTGTCATTCTCACTTAAGTCGGTATCTAAATAGTTTCTCTGGACATTGAGGCAGCATGACCAAAGACTGAAAGAAGAGCAGTGAGAGGAAATGGTACAAAAAGAGATTCAAAATTGGGATACTGGTCCCTACTACTAGCACAAGTCACCTTATAATTACTGTGTGTTTAATTTTACACTGTACATTTATTAAAAAAACGAAAGAAACACAGACAAAGAGACTGTATATTTGCGTGTCATGAACATCCTTGTAAATTCAGACAATTCCTACATGCCCTGTTGTGGATGCACTTGTTAAAAGTGACATGATTGTTTTCCGGTTACATTTCCACCTTCATCTGTGTGTCCTTAAAGCACCTCTATACAGGACTACTAGTAAATGATTGCCAGCTGTGTAAGGCCAGAGTGCCAGCATTGTGCTGAAATTTCCAGGTTTAAAATGGGGCACACATGCGTCACTCTGGCATTCAAACCTGGCCTTGCTTCCCTTGCTCCTGCTGACACGCAGCAACAGGAGAGCCGCCGATCAGAGGCCATTTTTAGACAACTTCTGTGATAATTTTTCCTGTGTCTGTCTCTCCCTGACAAGCCCACTTGTAACTCAGATTTATTCTCCCTTTTATCCTGCAACTAGCAAAGGTGAAAAGGTGAAATTGGGGTGTGGGGGGTGGGGGTGGGTAGTGGAAACAGGAAAAGATCCAACATGGTGGCTGTTCCGAATCAGCTGCAAGTGCTGGAGAAATTGTCTGTATGTGTTTGCTTGAATGTGTGTGTTTGCATAGCACACAAGCAGTACAGATGATGCCCCTACTGCAGATGGAGAGGCTTATTTGACAACAACAAGAAAAGTGGAAAATAAAACTTAAAACAGAACATGCAAAACAAAACCAGGAAGTAGTGCAACACAACACAACTACTATTTTGCAAATGTGGGAGCTCTGAAGAAGTGCTTGTTGGGAGTGCTTAATGGGGCTGTTTTACAAAAATTACACTGCACTGGCACCTGCTTCCTCAGGTAGCCCCTCTGCTTTAAATTCTCTTGAAAACACCCACTTGTGAGCTCGTCCAGTGCAGGGAAAAGCATGGATGGGGAGGGGCTGGGCGTGGGCTGTGGCTCAGCTGCAGGTTATTGCAGCTCACTGTTAGAAGGCAGGACTTATTCAGAGCTCCAGGGACTGATGAAAGAAAGCTTTAAAAGGAGCAAACCTGATTGGCTGGTGCTGTTGCTGCGTAGGGGACACTTGTGGCAGGAGTTGTTGCTGCAGAGACAGTAGCAGGCGTAGCACTGTACATCATTGGGACTTTGTTTTGAGGGTGGGAAAGGGGAGGTGGGGGGAGGGGAATGGGGGAGAGGGAAGGAGGTGGTAGCAATGGACAGGTAGGTGGAGCATTATGGTAACCATGGCAACAGTTGTTGTTGTTGTTGTTGTTGTTGTTGTGTGTGAGTGTGTGGGTGTGTCGACGGTATTTGTAGTTGTTGTAGTTGTTGTAGTTGTTGTAGTTGTTGTTGTTGTTGTTGTTGTTGAGGTGGTGGTGGTGGCGGATGTTACAGAGAGCCAGCAAGCCATCGTTAGGGTTACACCGGCAGATGGCATGCAACCATTCACAATGCAAAGCAAGGAGGACAGAAAGAAAGAAAGAAAAAGAGAGCATGGGAGAAAAAATAACAAAAAAAACAAGAGGAGAGAAGCTGATTACAATCACAAGTAAGGAAATTTATATGGAAAATCAGTTTGCTGTTTTTCCCAGAGAAGTTAAGGAGCACAAGACACCAATTACAATGAATCAATGACATTTTTGGCAACAGGGATGGGAATTAAATTTTTTTAGTCCATGTGGGCTGACATGATGAACAGTAGGACGATGCCAAAAACCCAGGCGGCTACTTCACTGTGAATGCCAAAAACATGCTACTCTGAAGGATTGTGGTTAATACTATGTTGAAAATCATTATTCTCAGTCATCAATTCACCGATGTAGGACCTGCTGTTTAGCCGACTAGGACTTTTTGTAATTCCCATCCCCTCATTGCAGAGACAAGCTCCAGTTACGTGTAATTTCTCTGGGAAAACTGATTTAAATTTCCTGATCAACACAGCACAGCAAACAGACAGTAGCTATCCTACAGCTTAAGAACAAACAGATCAGTCTATAGTATTTTATCTACACAAACATTTTAATCATAAACAGTCATTAGCAAGAAAGTCAGTAGGGAAACAAGAACTGAAAACAACTCTTCCAGGTGATACAAAATGGACATGAAAAGAGTTTCACATTAAATCTCATCTTAAAGAAATGGGACAGTTTAATGAGAATTCCTTGAGCACATTTTAAAAAGTTTCGTCACCACCGCAGGAAGTGATGCAGTGAAGCGATTACCTTTTGTTTCACCTGCAAGGGCTGCAGCTATTGCCCACTCCTCCCACTCCACCCACCCCCAACACTCCCACCTACATCAAACAGTGTGTGTGTGTGTGTGAGAGAGCAAAGGGAAGGTCGAGACCTACCAAGACTGCTAGCAGGAGTCATGCACAAGACTGACCCTGTTGTGTTCATGCAGAGAAAGACAGAGAGAGAGAGGGAGACAGAGAGGGAGAGAGAAGAGGAAATAAATGGGTTAATTGAGAGGGAGGAGAACAACAAGGTTACACAAGACAAAACAAAAGACAGCTCAGATGCTACTGTTACTGTGGTGCTGTCAGGCAGTTATGAATGCAGTACACGCTAGCAAGCAGAGGAATTCCCTTCATCAGTTATCCTATTAGTGAGAAAATACTGTTTATATACAGCTGTGGCTAAATCAAACATAATTATACCGTACCACCATGAAATAGTGGCCAGGTCCAGCATGTTGCAACGTTAGTTCTTTGGTTATGTACATGATATTTACTTTATTTATTAAAAATTCTCTTTCTCCATATTTGGTTTCTCCATTTTTCGTGGACTTTTTCTTTACACATGTGAAGGGTCTAAGGTCAGAGAGTGTACAGCCCACTGGGATGACTCCCTGATTCCACTGACTTGTCTGGACCATGTTGGTGCCTGTGATCCAGATATAGTTGCTACATATTTTCTGCCGATCCACAAGCAGCCAAGCTCAGCTTTTAACACTTGTTTGCATCCAAACATTCTTAAAATATTTCCAAGTGTTTACTTTCCCATTTTTTAAAATTCTTCTGTGGCCACAAAAATATCTGCAACTAGCACATTTATAGATACTATAAAAACTGAACACTAAATAAATAAATACGAAAATCTCTAGCAAAAGAGAGAAAAAACTAAATAATAGAGGAAAGGAAACTAAGGAGGTGACAGAGCCACACAGCAGCATCATGCAGGGTCAGTACAATGATGTGCACAGGCTTCCCTCCAGTACTGAGTAAAACGGGGATGGGTGGGGTTTACTCCATCAGTAAACTTCAAATGCTCTCATGTGACTGTGCAACATATTTGGCACAAATTGTCTTTTTCCCACATTATAGAGAAATCCCACCCATCTGAAATGTAGCAGATTAGTGGGGAAAAAAGCAGACTTGCAATCTTTGACCCAAAGCTACTTCCCACACACAGATATAGAGGGAGAGAGGGAGGAGGGGCTGTCAGACATCTCACGCCAGAAGGGACACAAAAAGAGCAGGTAGAAAGCAGAGCGAGGGATAGGAGTCTCAGCCTCATGACTCATGAGTGTGGCTATAGGCTACCGCATTAGCTGCAGTTAACTCATTTAGCAGGTGACCCGAGGGGGCTTGAGCTACTGTTAGTTCCTGCGTGAGGAGTACACACACACACACAGAGTGTTTGTTTAGGGCCAAAGAACTGAAGACGAATAAAGGAGCAGAGCTGAATTAATTTGGGAAAATTGGAACAAAATTGCTTTTGTAAATGGGATTTTTTCCCAATATCGATGTCAGTCAAGACAGATTAAATACACACTGAATAAGCCGCGTTAGCTCCAAAAAGTAAGCCATTCGTCCCTCACACTGGAGCCTGAACAAAGTTACAGAGCCTTTGTGTTTGAAACAACTGGGCTTGTTTTGCTCTTTTGATATGCTTGGCAGGTGTATCATATTCAGGGGGTAATATATCATATCTTTTATTGCTCTGATCAAAACCTTCACTGTCCTTCCACCTGGCAGGTGTTACCACACACCAAAACAGCGCAGCTCTTTATGTGTGTCACGCAAAGTAATCCCTTTCAAAAGAAAAATATAAACTTTATCAGATGTAACTGATCATGAGAGAATCTCTAGAGAGAATCTTTAGCATGAGAAACTCCAAAAAAACAAGTTTGTGATAGATAAAGGGTTGGCTGAGCCCGTTCTGTGAGTGTATCTTTGCATCTGTGTGCTTGCATGCTCTGCATACCTATGAGTGCTTCTATCTGCATCTGTGTGCTGGGTGTATTGATTGGGAGCTCTTACCTGTGGGAAAGAAAGCGGGCTGCTGGAGCTGTGCGTTGGCCAGCGCCTGCTGGTAGTGCAAAACACTGGGGTTGAACAGGGAGCTTGCTCCGTTGCTCTTCTCAAGTGCTGGTCTCTTTGGTAGGGGCTGCAGGACGCCGTGGGGGAACGCCTAGCCACCGAAAACACACACACAACAAAAGCACAGTAGATTGGAACTGGATACTTACACAAATCAGCACTGATATTTTCTAAATCTGTTACTTGTCTATGCACAGCACAACAAGGCAAAATGGAAACTTGCTGTAACTATCACAAGGACAATGAGAAACTACACCATAGCAAGGCATCAACAACACATTAAAGAAAACAGTGTGATAACTGGAATTATTTTAACATTACGTTGTAATTGTTCATTTAATAAATGTACAGTACAATCTAGAATTGCCACTGGTGTCATAAATGATAAATATTTATACTTTAAAATGTTTTACAGGGTTTCACAAAAACAAAAGAGCCAACTTAAATTTTGTGAGTGGCTACAGTACAATTAAAGAAGCTACATGCAAAGCAAAAGGTGAAAGGTCAAAGTACCAGGTCTACAGTTGCCTCGAGGGGTCGCTTCATTGCTTTGGCAGTCGACTGAGTCTTTTAATAGCAGGCAGCGAGCACATGATGGCAGTGGGCCAATGGGATTCAAGCGTATTAACATACAGGTAACAGCAAGCAGAGGTGCGTCATGGGGGACAGCATTGCATTGTGGATAGGTGAGAAGGAAAAAAACAAAAACAAAAATAATCTGAATGCAAGTATACCACATACAAAACAATAGGCATGCACATAAACAAAAAACTGTTTTGTTTACTTTAAAGAAACATTGCTACTTTTTGAATTAGTACAAAAGCAAAAAAAAAGCATCTACAATAACCTTTGGTTAAAAAAGCAAGATACTATGATGTACTTCAAAACTACTGGGAAAGCATTTAGTAGTAACGTCAACTACTTCTGAACAAGTAAATCAACTTTTTTAAACATCTACGCAAGAACAAAATGCAGTAAGTTAAACATAAATGATTCAGACTAGAAATACTGGCCTGACACTTGATGTGAGATCTGAACAGAAGCTCTCTTTCAAAGTAGTTCACTACAGTCCTACACACACAACAATCACAGTGCTCCTGGATTACTCTATTTGATGGTGTGAGGTGCCTTTGGGCCTGAGAAATGTCTAAAACACCCACAACAGATTGGGATGTGAGTGCACTCTGGTCAAAGCCCCTCGAATTATTCACCTCAGCCCTCACAACTGGCAGCAAGATCTGGACACATTTGCGTGATCAGATTTTAAACTACAGATAAACACTATTACTAGTAGCAAGAGGCTGTTGAGGTGCTGTCACCCTTGTGGCAGCTACAATAAGTAGTCCAGACAATACTAACAAAAAGTTGTTTAGCAGTCACATCCTTTTCTGTAGTGGTGTCAATTCACATCTAGTTAAAGTTAGGGACAAATCCTCAAACTAAATCTGCATCATGAGGGCATGTGGCCTGTTAGTGTGATCGATGAACTTGGGGAGGTGACACAATGTGAGGCGCAGTTATAGTTCAATCACAGAATGTGGAGCTCTGTTTATTCTTACATTCCTCCTAAACACAACAACATCTTAGTCTAGTCTAGTCTAGAGGCAATTAAATCGCAAATGTTTACAGAACTAAAATTAGTTTGACGCCAACCCTAATGAGGTAATAATAAAGAGTTATATTTCCAGGATTAGCTTTGGTTAATTTATTGAAAACGACCTTACATTTGATGTCACTGCTGAGAGGAAAAAAAGATGACATGGATGTGATGAGCACAGCACTTAAGGGGTCCATGCACAAGCCTCTTGCTTCATGTATGTGGATTTTCTAATAGTATATAACAGTATACGTCCTATTAAAGAGTGACAATGCATTACTGATGCAGTGTTAACAGACTTAAACATTGTGGTTAGTTAAAATGGAAGATGGCCTATTAAAGTGACATGAAAAGAAAGATGATTGCATTCGACTTGCAATGAGGAAGAAGATCACAGCATGGCAAGCAACACATAATGTGGCACAGTAAAATAACATAATCTCAATAATAGGATTTTCTTACTGTATCAGTTAATGTGTAACCTTATCTACAGCACACTTCATCTTATTTGTTTTAGATTAAAAAAAGTGAATTATGGGTAATGATATTACCTATTTGCAGCAGTGCAGCAATACAGGTTTTATGGGTCTCTGCTTCAGCTTTAGGCTAAGAGCTAAAAGAAAATTGGATTAAAGGTGCTGACTAAACAACTCATTGTCCTAAGGTTAACCCTCCTCACCTCTAGCACAGCTTGTAATTGCTGATGGTAAACTGGGAATTGGGTCATAAAGTTGATAAACTGGGGCATATATGCAACACAGGAGTATGACGCATGGGAGGAAAACACACTAGCAACATATACTAAATATTTGATGATGCATTGTGTACCTGGAGAAGTTGTTGAGCTAAGGTAGTTGCTGTAGAGCCCTGACAGTTATATGAAGTTATAGTGCCTTGGGGTCCTCAGGCTCTCTTTTATTTATGCATGTTTTAATTCTTTGTTTTTTCCTGCTTTAATGCAGCTGCTACCATGTGCACAAATGAAACTAACCTGCAGTCATGGTCACCTTATCATCCACACTGTGGACTTATGGAGGAAGGACAGGGAGAGCAAGCAGCAATGGAGCCAGCCAATGAGAGAGGTATGTGCAGCGCATAAAGCATGCCCATGCCATGGAGGAAACAAGTCAGTCAGCACACTGGCGCAGTATAAGGTGTGCGAGTGCAGCAGCCAAAGGATCATTCAAAAGAAGCCACTCAGAGCCTGGAAGAGGGTGGGGCACAGCCAAGACACACTGCCAAACCCTTCTCACTGTCTGTCTGTCTGTCTGCCTGCCTGCCTGCACTTCTACCTGTCTGTCTATCTCTGTTTCTTCCTCAGCCTGTTGGGGGATTTTTCCACCTAAGGCAGAAGAGGGTAAACCCCCACCCGCGATGTTACATCCTCATCCATCCCTGATTCAATTTGCACTGATCTGCAGAGAGCCGCACTTATCATTGAGAGCAGGGGGGGTAGGATGGGGGGTGAGCCAGCACATTGTCTCTATATGAACCAAGGGCATTTGAAAATAAAAAGCATGCTGCAGTGAGATAATAACAGATTGTTCTTGCAGCATTATACTGATGCATTTAGGTCTCACTAAACCCTGTTTATTGTATACAAAGGCCTCACTTTGGGATGACTATTGTTAGTGTACACTGGAGTCCACTAGAAAAAACCAGCAGAGATGGGTATGTGTTTTACAGTAATAAAGCAGTGCTCCACATTTTATGTTAGTGTGGGTGTCATCATCAACAGCATGTGTTTACACTTTGTGTAACTCAAGATGATTTATCATAATATAATGTGTATTCATTGAGCCTGTGTTTGCTTACGTGTATTTTACAAAATTGCTCAAACGTGATCACTAACTTACACTAATTAGAAAAAGCAGGAATTGTTAGTGTATCATAAAAAGTGTTAGGCTGTGTTTGATCAGCTAACAGTTACAGTGCGTGTTCCTGGACATCCAACAATCTCTGATCTCAAGTTTAGACGATGTGTGCTTCACATACATATTCGTATATGTTGTGTTTACTTGCTGTTCCACAACTGTAAAACCTCCAACAATAACTTGTTTATTTGATGCCCTATAAAAGCCTCCCATGATACTATAATAAAATGCTAAGCTCTTATTGGAAGGTTCAAGGTATACTGTATATAGGTGCTATAAAATGGCCTTATTGTCTCATCCAGACCTTACAAGCTCTTGCTCTATAAGTACTCTAAACAAGCAGAAACCTTGTGAGATTTGTTTGGTTAATACAAGGACAAGTATGAGTGTGTGTTTCTTGCTCTACCACTGTGTAGGCACAAAGTACAGTGGGTAGGCTGTAGTGCTGTGCTCACCATGGCTGCAGCTGTGGCAGCGGCTTGCGCAGCCACAGCTGTCTGGTTGGCCTGGTGTTGGGCGGCCTTAATCTTGGCCTGCAGGTGGGCCGGGGGGTGGAAGTACTTGCACTTCTCGCGTGAGCAGCGGCTCTTGATGTAGTCCATGCAAACGGTGACCGTGTTGTCGCTGGTGTCGATCATGGGGCTGTCGCTCGGGTGAGCAAAGCGGCAGTCAGTCTCACCGCGTGCACAGTTGCCCCGCTGGAACTCACGGCAAACCTGGGAGCAGGAGAGTCAGGTGGACACACACACACACACACACACACACACATGAACACACACACACACACACACACACACAGATGTGGACAGACACACAGATGTGTGCAGCAAAAAGAGAAAACAAAGAAATACACACAGAAACCAATTGTGAATGTGTGAAGCAATATTAGTCAGAATCACAGTATTCATCATGAACAGTAAAATATTAAATGCTTTGGCTGAATCCAATTCAACCTCATACTGCATCCCAACTAGCACAATAACTCAGACAGGTGTCAAAAATATAGAAATGTCATACACATTTAATTACAGGCCTTTTCACACCGGTCTGATATTTTTATTTAACAAAAAAACATATTGTGTTTAAAAATACATATCTAGCATTGTTTAGCATTGATATGACACTGTATTTTTGTCCTTTTTATTCCTCTTTTGTGTGTCAATGACCATTTAAAAAATGTGATTAATTTTCTTTGCTATTGTTCATGTTATGTGTCCAAAACATGGTGTTTGAGCAAAAGACGAGCAGGCAGCAGCAGGTTCATAACTAAAAGATAACATGTGGCATAAAATTGAAGTCAACCGGTGAAATATCTTCTATGTCACTCCTTCTTTGTTTTGTTATTTCACCAATAAAGTATATAAAAAAAAATAAAGAATGATATTAAAGAAGGCAGAGACAGTGAAGAAAAAAACACTACAAATAAATGTAACACCCTGGAACAAAACTGCAATGTGTGTCACACCCAAATGATTGTGGAATCACTGAACCAGTCAGTGTTCAACTGTTCAGAGGCCGGGGCAGAATCACAGGGGGATCTGATTTGACTTGCACTCTGGGACTGAGACACACAGAGTGAGAGTGAGTGTAAACACACACACACACCAAACACACACACACACACACGCACACACACACACTCACACACACAAACACTGGTGCACATACACACACGTGTACACACACATGCTGGCTCTGTGTGGGAGTGTATACGTGTCTCAGAGGGATACTGTTTCATTAGCGCCAACTTCCTTCAGTTGCTAAGTGATAGCAATCCCAGAGAAAAACATATACAGGCACACACCTACGCATAACCTCCAGGTCTTCAGGAGATGATTGTTTATCTTTGTAAATGTAGTGGAAAATAAAAACTCCCCCTTATGCACTGTTTCACAATCACCAAGCTATTCCCATTCAGAGCAGTTAGCCAGGGGGCAGATGGAGATGGTTGAAGTAATTGCCCTGTCTAACCGTGGATGTCTAGCAAAGTACTAGTTTGTGTTAGCAAATCCCAATTTAAATCATAATTTTTTCGTATCATATTTCTGATACAAGTCTTAATTATTTCTGTAGGGGATAACACAATCAGGTGCTCAGGGATAACACGCAGGCAACAAACTATCAGGTGAGGATCCTGATTTCTTTTCTTTTCTGAAAACATAATTATGTATTTTTCTGCCACAGACAAAACTTAGATATCAGGCTCTATGAACAACTACTGCAGTTAAAACAATTCACCAGGCTTTTTATGAAATTGTGACACAATTAGAAGCATGTTATGAGATTTAAACTGAGTGAAAACATTTCAGCTTTCTGTAAAAATCAAGCCTTTTTACAAGCCTGATTTTCTATTTGCTTGTGACAAGGCAACTTCAAAATCTGTTTATTCAAATCATCAATTACTTGCTAAAGACTTACTTATCTTTATCCTTGTCTAAGTCAGTTTATAGAACAAGTAGTTACATTCAAAGAGTTAATACAAAGGTGAAACACGTGCCTCTATTTTACTTATTGCAATGCTAACTCCTGTGGTAACCAGGGAGGTAGTTAGTCTCTATTGTTTTTTTCTGCATTCACTGCACAGTACTGGATGCATCAAGACACTACACGTGTGTGTGTGTGTGTGTGTGTGTGTGTGTGTGTGTGTGTAACTATTGTATCAGACCTACAATACCCCTGAGGCTCCATTGGAAATACTCTGCAGTTATAAATGATACTCATTAGCACCACATATCTATTGCATCTCTTTCACACCTAAAATCACAGTAAGATGTTTCCATAATTATACTTCACAAAGAGCAAAGAGAACATTAGCTACAACTGGCTGTCATGCTCGTCTTGTCTGAGAGAGAGGGAAGACTGTGATTGGGTGGGTCACCTCCAGCTTGTCGGTACGCAGCAGTTTCTGGCTGGAGGAAGAGCCGGCGGTCACGGAGACAGGCGGGCTGCCGGGGACGATAACGGGCGTGCTGGGCAGGATGTCTGTGGGCACCAGGCCCATGCTGTGGGACATGGGAGTCAGGTAGGGTGTGTAGCTCAAACCTGCGCTGGAGCCCAGGCCCTGGCTGACTGGAAACGTCTGCTGTAGATGGAGGGAAAAAGACAGTTTACCAACATTTATTCTGACAGTTCCTCTAATGTTGTCTCTTTAAAATATTAAAAATTTCTTTCTTGTTTTAACTATTTTTCCATTCTTAATCAAAATAGTAAAGACATAAATGGAAGAAATTGTGGAAGGACTAAGATTTAAAATGATGGATGTAGGGAGGGACATTGGGAAGTTGAGGGTGAAAGGCAGGAAGAGGGTATAGAGATGAAAAAGAGGGAGAGAATTTAGAGGAAGGAGACACTAGAGACAAATGAATGGAGGGTGCAGCTTTGTGGAGTGGTAGGTGAGAAAGATGAGAGGGAGAGAGTGTGACAGGTAGAGAGAGAGAGTCGGGGGAGCAGAGAGGGATAGGATTATGAGAAAAAGTGGAGAGAGGAGGAGGTGAGAGTAAAGACATGAGAAATTTTTTTTTCAACCTTTATGTATCCTGGGAAGATTTTGCTGAGCATGCATGTTCTTTTTCAGCTACGCCTAGTCTTACATTGATGCAGTTAAACACGTTCACACCTGGCAGTCGCCCAGTGCACAGTCTACTGCTGACTGCCGAGCAACTCCCAGAGAGTAGTTGGGGTGTTTGTGCTTTGCTCAAGGGCATGTCGACAGCAACTGTGAGAACAAATTCATGATCTTCCTAGAAAGGCATCCTGAGAACAGGCTGATTGGAGAGGATGGATAATAGACGTATCCATCAGAACCATGTAGTAATGTACTGTAACAACTTTAATATTTATTTTCTCAGTGAATGTTAAGTGTAAGTTAAAGATGCTGCCAAGACCATGACACTGAGAAAAATTATATTGGCATGAAGGGTAACTTCATACGGTTTGCACCAACTTTCTAAGTAAATCTATGATCTGAAAATATGACATTGTGCATGTAAAATATCAAATATGCAATAATACAAAATGTTGAATTCACTTGAACTGATACGGCTTGATACATAATTATATTTTAACGGGAACAAAGCCAAACTTTTTACAGTGAAGCATAACAACACTGCTATTTTTATAGTGAGTCACGCTGCATTGCCCAGTCAATTCCCACAGCAGTGAGGCCAGCACTAACCACAGGTTGCATGGTGGTGCCAGGGATCATGAACTGCATCTGCTGAGCCAACATGGCGGCCGCTGTCTTCTGCTGGATCAGGTTATTTCGCCCGTTGATCTCAAGCTGGGTCTTCAGGTGAGCGGGTGGGTGGAGGTATTTGCAGTTCTCTCGCGTGCAACGGCCCTGAGTGAAGATAACAGGGGGGAGAGGGAGAGAGAGACACAAACTCATTAACAGTTTTGTCTGAAAACTTGAAGTCTCTGTTCAACAGAATGAACTGAAAAGCAGCTATCTTTTCATAATAGACCTAACTGTGAACAGGTTGTGTGTCTGCCCGAGGATGTGGCAGATATGTGGGCATTCATTTCAACACAGACTCCAAAACATCAAGTGCTTTAAGGCAGCATCCATATTCATACTTAGAGAGTGTGGAACATATAAAATTATGAGCGCTACGCATTCAGAATTGCTTGTGCTTGTGGGGGTAGCAGGTAGCTCTCGGCTGTGAGTAGAAACATTGTTATGAAAGATCATTATCAGTCTCTGGTCCTGCCTGGACCATGGACACACTGACAAGCCAGTATTCAGTGCCGACATGGAATTGATCTAGGTAATGGAAAAAAAAGGCTTGGTTCTGATTCTAGCTATCTAGCCATCTTGACTAAATCTCTCTAACTTTCTAATGGATAGGTCATCCAGTATTCTCTGCGGAAATGCAAATGCAGGGTTGGTGGGGTCAGACTTACTGATACCCTGGTGGATGAAGGCAATTACACGATCAACCCAGAGGCTAATGGCAAAAACAATAATCCAATATGGATCCTCACTGCAGAGCTTATTGTGCGGAGAGTGGGTGGAGGAGAGGAGAGAGGTCAGGAGGGAGTGACAAAGTGAAGGGTTGAATAAAGTAGTGGGAGATGGGACTGGAGCTGTGGGGAAGATGGAACGTAAAGGTGAGGAGAGGAGCGGTGGAAAAGATTTGGGCAGAGTGGACTGATATGAGTTAGTACAGAGGGGTAAATGGTTAGATAACGAGACAAGGTCAAGAAAACAGAAGGACAGGACATGACATGGCATGTCTTGGTGAATGTGAAAGAGGGCAGAGGGAAGTGAAGCTAAATTAGAATCAGTCGAGCATGAGGAGGTCCAAACAACCCTTAACTCCACGGCACAGAAGAGCCAAGACACAGCGGCCTGATTAACAGTGCCGTACAATAATCTCTCTAATTTCCTTTTATAAGGAAATATGACAGCTCTGCCTAGTGTCCACAAAGTGACTGGCCATGACTGAATGTAATTATTCAAGTCCTGAATCAAACAAAATTACAACAAGTCACCAGACAGATCCATGTACAGTATATGTCTCATATACTGTAGCAGTCTGGTGGGTGCAGTGACCTGTATTACATCGGACAGGATATGGGACTGAATGCTGCAGTGATTCGAGAAACTGGCAATGAACCAGAAGAGCAAAGCTCAAGTAGAACTGGAGGATGTATTAATAATATATCAATATCCTGATATGATGTGATCATCACAATATTGATATTGATGATTATGGTAAAAAAAAAAATTTGTGATATAGTTGGTTTTGCCAGTATTGCAGTCTGAGCCTGAGCTCTGAAAGTATCAAGTGAAAAAGAATCTATAAAATAAGACATTATTCTTGTTCTGATACTATTCTTAGTATTGCACATAACTGGAACACATCCCATGGGTCATGATGCAAACGAACAAAAGCATGATATGGATTATTAGCCCAGAGTGTCACTCACCATGCTACAGGGATTTGAAGTGGCTTCTCAACCTGTTCAACTCTATGTAGCCACACAGAGAGCTTTGCTTTTCTACGTTCAGTGGGCAGGCAAACAGAGGAGAACTTTTAATCAACCACAGCTCAAGGTATAAGACTGGCTCCCAGTGTAAATAATCTACCAATAGAAAATAATCTTCAAGTCTCATCAAAGGAGAAAGTAATAACAATCCTTTCCCCCTGACAGATATTAAAGACACACCACAGAGCATCAAAATTACTGTTGGTTGCAATTACATTTCTTTCAAATAATTTAAAGCTGCCACAAAGAATAATAGGTCTGCAGACACTATAAGCTTCTTTGCAATTGTTGTTTTCACATTAATAAAGACACAAAGATATGAGTTTGGGTGTTTTCTTTGTGAGACACATGCGCTGGCAGCACAACTATCAGATAACAGGTTTGACGTTGACGGAGACCCTGGAGCAGTTCTGTAATGGTGAGAGTCATGAGTCAGACAGGACTGACCTCCACACCCTGCTGTTAACGCTGCAGTGAGCCACTCATACCCCCCTGCTTCATGGTTCTCATGCACAAAATCACACCTGCCCACTCATATGCATACTAAATCGCACAATCACAACAAGCATTGCCCACACATACTGGCACAAGCATACATGCACACAGATATACACACTGCTGTACATTAACACATTCACAGATCTGTTATGACCTGTCCAGACCACAAGGAATAATGTTAGCACTGAACCCCCAACCAAAAACCTCAGAGGTATCAAAACTAATTGGAGCTTTATGCACTGCCACGGACACTGGAAGAAGGTGTGTGTATATATGTGTGTCTTGTGTATCTGTGTCCATGAGAGGGAGAGAGATAGAGAGAGAGAGAATGCGTAGGCAGGTGGAACTGTGTGTGTGCAGGAGAAAGTGTGTGGGCGGATGTGACTCTGTGTGTGAGAGAGGTAGCTGGTGCTGAAGCTGTGCTCTGGACAGCATCCCAAACTGACTCTGCAGGGAAGCACAGCATCACTATCGCGCCCTACGGAGATCACAGACACAGACGGACACAAATAAAGACGCAGGCACACGACGACACACGCAAACACACGCCACAGACCCTGACCACTCACTTTGTCAGTTATGTGGACTTAAAGTAAAGCCATTACCTCTCTTCTTGCTCCATATTCAGTTCATCTATAGCCTTTGAGTGACACATGCTTTTCGCAATTGCTCATCATTACTCTCCATTTAAAGTGATGAGGTAAATGGTGGCAGAGCTACTTGGAAGAGTGTTTCATTACGCACAGGCACTGTCGCACTAAGTGCAGGCCTTGGACTCGTAAAATCTTCCCCTTTCATCCTGTCAAACTTTGTTTGAGAGCCTTTTCTCACTGATGTATTCATGATCCATCATCGCATTGTGCCTGGTCTTCCCATAAATTAGGTTTGATTTGTCTTCGGTCTTCCTTTGTGTCTAGTTTGGAGGTGGAAGAAGCACATGAAGTACCTACGCTAGAGCTGTCATGGTAATGGAAATTCAATGCTATTTAAAAACTGTGGGGAAAAAAATCTATGCAGCATTTAATCATATAAACATTCATTATTTAAAATCTGGATCGGCCTATATCAGTAAAATAAATTGAGCGAGCAATCACACAAATGGCAAGTGCATTTTATAAAGATCTTTCCCAGAAATCGGCCCTATAGTAAGTGTAATACTTACAGAAACATTTGAGAAGAACTCACTCCCACCGAGGATGACAGAACCTATAATTTCAGCGCTACATGAAAAGGTCAAGGATCCTCTCAGGTAGGAATAATGTAGACCTGTGAATTTCTTCTCAAGTGATTATAAGATTCTAACCAAGGTCCTTGAAGTTAGGATTGAAATGGTCATGAATTCTATAATACATCCTGATCAGACAGGATTCATCTCTTTTGATTAACTGATCAAGAACGATTGTGATTGGTGGTTCGCTGTGCATGCATGTCACTCACGAGCAACAAACTCTGTGTATCCAAGTGCCCTTAAATTGGAGTAGATTATATCAGACAGGCTTCTCTTGTAGAATAGTCATGGAAAATGAGAACCATCCCAGTTTTCTTACACATATTGAAAATATGGTTTCAGTTTAGGTCTCACTTCAAGTATAAACAGGCACCGCCTCTACTGCCTATTACAGCCAGTGTCAACATTAACAGCGTTAATCCTCAGGATCCTCAGACAAATAACACTGACTAAGGTGAAGCAGCAGAGCTCACAATATATCTGTGGCTCGACCGTAACTACGGTGAGCTGCTTAATGTGTAAAATGTATGGTGCTGTGCCTTTTACCAGCCAGTGTTAACAAAAGTTAACTTTAGTTACCACTGAAGCAGTGTTTCACATACAGCAGCTTTGAAAAGAAAGCGTGAAGCAGATTCAGCAAAGACTGTGAAGTCACGTGAATGTGTATTCAGCACACAAAATAGGTTTAAAACTAAATGAATAAATTCAGTGAGAAATACAAACCTCACCAGTCTGACGCTCATTTCAGAGGTTGCCCCTCCCCAAGAACATTTTGCTTTTTAGAAAAATAAAGTTGTTATGAAGTGGAAAGAAACAAAGCACAGTACAGGGAAAGAATAGAGCATGGAGACAAACGAGAAGAGGGAGCCACTAAGAGAAAGACTACCTGATGCAGCTCAAAGAGATGACCACTAAGAGAGGAGAAACTAATTACAGGAATGTATATAGCTCAGAGAATCCCATAATTTAGAGGAGAACAAGAAAATGCAATCTGAGGTAAAAATAGGACTAGATCTAGTACTATCTGGATTGTACACAGCTGTATTGCTATTTTGATTGCCAATGCTGGTGAGAACACGGTCTAACATTTTAACATGTAGAAGTGTCACATTCTGTACGCCAAGGGTCTTTTACTAGCTTCCACTCTTGGAAGTCTCAGCGCCTAATAGTGAAGAGGACATGGATTTGCTATAAATATGGCAAAAGGACATCTGAATGGCTGATATCCCTTGGTGGGTGTTAAAACATTAGGCTGCACACAAAAGAGGAGATCAGTTCATTTAGAAGAATTTCAGCTTAGCTCAGGCTGGAGATGTGAGGTGAGTCCAAGGCTATATTCTGGATAATCCTATCCTGGAAAAGACATTCCAGTTATTCACAGCTGTCATCGAGCAACAATGTTGATTAAAAACCTACACTCCCGCACACAAAAATAATGATGCATTCATTAAACTCAGGGAAGTGTTAATTTATTGGTACTGTGCACAGCAGTTAAAAAGCTTTCACCCACATCACGTCTCTCTGATTAGGGGTGAAAATCTAACATCTGCTTTATAGCAGGACCAATTCTTGCTTTAATAAAACACGGTAAGGCCAACTGCAAGAACTGTGTAGTGATGGCT